TCGAGACCCCTGAGAGAGCAAATCTAGATATCGACCACAAATTGTGAATGCTTAGAAGGAAAAGTAGGGCATTGCTGTTTGGCAATTGTGGTATTTCAGGTTGGGGCTTAAAACCTTATCTGAACCAGTGTTTACAAGAATTACCCTGGATTTTGGTACCTCGGTAACCGTTAACGTTGTTAAAGGGTAAGTGGGCTTAGGTAAAGCAGATGTATGTAGTTCTTACATTTTTTTTGTCAGCCTTCCGGTTCTCCAGGAGTTGAGTGTATTTCTGTGATTTCCACTGAGTGTATATGAGCTCTGGTATGTGGGTACAAAGCATCATGAATTCTTTTTTTTTTTTTTTAACTATTTATTTAGAGAGAAGGAAAGAATCCCAAGCACACTCCACACTGTCAGTGCAGAGACCATTGAGATCATGATCTGAACCAAAACCAAGAGTCAGACACTCAACCAACTGAGCCAGCCAGGCACCCCTATTCTAGAGAAATCGTAAGATGTGAAAGGAGGCATGAGCCTAGCAGTTGAGTCCTCTTTTGTCAGATAAAACTGGACTTTTTCCTCTCTGAATGTTAATTTTTCCTCTTGTGTAATGAGAATAATGACTAGAAACAGTTAACTGCTTCTCAAATGTTCTTGGTTATAAATTGCAGAACAATTTATTAGGTCTACAACATAAAAAGTATATATAAGCTAATTATGTGAAACACTGTCTTGCAGAATAGGAAGTTGTTTTTCATATATAAATATTTGAACTGATAGGATCATTGTATTTACAATGAACATTCTTTTCCAGAAGGGGGTAACCTGAGTTTCCTATCAAAATAGATTACAAATTATACAAGACTTCATTTTGGGATAAGTAGATCTGGTTCAATGTATTTAAGAATTTGGCATGAGTAATTCGTTTTATTGCTGTTACGACTGTTTGAGGTGACCACGGTTCTTTACAAAGAGGGCAATTTACTGGAGGTGGTAAAATCAAGTAGTGCTATTAAGTACAGGAAGAACAGAGGAAGAGAGGAGAAAAAATGAAAAGGATGTATGCATTGAAGAGTAGATAACTGTTTGCCTGACTCTGCCCTTACACTTAAGTTGAAAACTACCTAACATATTGAAAACCACACCTAACATACTAATTCTTTCAGCTATAACAACATTTGATCCTTTTTTTTAAGTTTATTTATTTGTTTTGAGAGAGACAGAGACAGTGCGAGTGGGGGAGGGGCAGAGAGGTGGGGGACAGAGAATCCCAAGCAGGCTCCGCACTGTCAGCACAGAGCCTGACTCGGCTCCACCTCACAGAACTGTGAGATCATGACCTGAGCTGAAACCAAGAGTCAGACGCTCAACTGACTGAGCCACCCAGGTGCCCTGATCCTTTTGTTTTAAATTGTAGTTGACACACAATGTTAAATTTTAGGCATAAAGTGTAGTGATTTAGCAATTCTGTGCCCTATGCTAGTCTCACCACAATGTGACTACCATCTGTTACCATGCATTGCTATTCTAGTACCATATTCCCTATGCTGTACCTTTTATTCTCATGACTTACTCATTCCATAACTGGCAGCTTGTACCTCCCACTCACCTTCACGCATTTTGTCCATCCCCTCATCCCCTCCCCTCTGGCAACCACCAGTTCTATGTATTTATGGGTCTGTTTCTGCTTTTGTCTTTGTTTTTAGATTCTACATATAAGCAAAATCGCATATGTCTTTCTTAGCATAATAGCCTCTGTGTCCATTCATGTTGTCCCAGATGGCAAGATCTCATCTTTCTTATGGTTGAGTAATAATAATGTGTACATTATATCACGTATTCATACTTTCATATATTGATGGACATTTAGGTTGCTTCCGTATCTTGGCCATCGTAAATAGTGCTGTCATGAACATAGCAGTGCATGTATCTTTTTGAAACAGTGTTTTCAATTTCTTTGGACAAATACCCAATAGTGGAATTACTGAATTGCATGCTATTTCTAATTCTGATTTTTTGAGGAACCTTCATACTGGTTTCCACAATAGCTGCACCAATTTACATTCCCACTAACAGTGTACAGGGCTTCCTTTTTCTCCACGTCCTTACCAATATTTGTTATTTCTTGTCTTTTTGATACTAGCCATTCTGACAGGTATAAGGTGATATCTCATTGTGGTTTTGATATGCCATTTTCCTGATGATTAGTGATGTTGAGCATCTTTTCATGTGTCTTATGACGTGTGTGTCTTATGTGGAAAAATGCCTATTTGAGTCCTCTACCCATTTTTAATTGGATTATTTTTTTTACTGGTGTTGAGTTGTATAATTTCTTTATCTGTTTTGGATAGGAAACCCTTATGGGATATACAATTTGCAGATACCTTCTCCCATTCAGTAGGTTGCCTTTTCAGTTTTCTTTTTTTTTAATGGTTTCCTTTGCTGTTTACAAGTTTTTATTTTTTGATGTAATGCCAATAGTTTATTTTTGCTTTTGTTTCCCTTGCCTGAGGAACATATCTATAAATAAATTGCTAAGGGAAATAACCAAGTGAATACTCCGTATGTTCTCTTCTAGGATTTTTATGATTGTAGGACTCACATTCAGGCCTTTAATCTAGTTTGAGTTTATTTTTGTACATGGTGTGAGAAAGTGGTCCAGTTTCATTCTTTGCATGTATCGGTCCGGTTTTCCCAACGCCGTTTGTCTTTTTTCCCATTGAATGTGCTTGCCTCCTTTGTTGTAGATTAATTTTATATTAATGGGTTTATTTCTAGGCTCTCTTTACTGTTCCATTAATCTGTGTGTCTGGGTTTTTTTGCAGGATCATAGTATTTTGATTATTATATCTTTGTAGTATATCTTGAAATCTGGGATTGTGATACTTCCAACTTTGTTTTTGTTTTTCAAGATTGCTTTGCCTATTTGGGGTCTTCTATAGTCCCTTACAAATTTTAGGATTATTTGTTCTAGTATTTCTAGTTCTGTGAAAAATGCTGTTGGTATTTTGATAGGGATTGCATTAAATCTTTAGATTGCTTTGGATGGTATGGATATTTAAACAGTATTGGTTCTTTTAGTCCATTAGCATGGAATATCTTTCCATTTGTGTCATCTTCAGTTTTTTTATAAGTGTTTTATAGATTTCAGAGTACAAGTTTTTCACCTCCTAGGTATTTTATTATTTTGGGTGCTATTATAAATGGAATTGTTTTATTAATTTCTTTTCCTGTTACTTCATTACTGTGTATAGCAATGCAACAGATTTCTGTATATTGATTTTGTATCCTACAGCTTTATTTATGCATCTATTACTTCTAATAGTGTTTTGGTGGGGTCTTTAGATTTTCTATGTATAGTATCATGTCATCAACAAATAGTTTTACTTCTTCCTGCCAATTTTGGTAACTTTTATTATTTTTCTTGTTTGATTATTGTGGATAGGACCCCAGTACTATGTTGAATAAAAGTGGTGACAGTGGACATCCTTGTCTTGTTCCTGATCTTAGGGAAAAAACTCTTAATTTTTCACCATTGTGTATGATGTTAGCTGTGGGTTTGTTATATATGGACTCTATTATATTGAGATATGTTCCCTCTAGTTGAGAGTTTTCATTATGAACAGATGTTGAGTTTTTTCAAATGCTTTTTCTGCATCTGTTGAGATGATCATCTCATTTTTATCCTTTATTTTGTTAATGTGGTGTATCACATTGTTGAGTTTCGAGTATTGAAACAGCCTCGCATCCCCGGAATAAATTCCACTTGATCATTTTAATTAATTTTTAAATTTGGTTTACTAATATTTTGTTGAAGATATTTGGTTCTGTGTTCATCGAGGATATTCGCCTGTAGTTTGGGGTTTTGTGTGAGTGTTTGTGTGTGTGTGTGTTTGTAGTGTCTTTGCTGTTACTATCAGGGTAATGTTGACCTTGTAGAATGTATTTGGAAGTTTTCTCTCCTCTTCTTTTTGGAACAGTTTGAGGAGAATAAGTGTTAACTCTTATTTAAGTATTTGGTAGAATTCACTTGTGATGCCATCAGGTCCTAACTTGTTTGTTGGGAGTTTTTTGATTAGTCATTCAGTGTCATTATTAGTCTATTATTAGTCAAAATCAGTCTATTCAGATTTTCTTTTTGTTTTGGAAGATTATATGCTTCTAGAAATCTATTTCCTCTAGGTCGTCCAATTTGACATATAATTTTTCATAGTAGTCTCATAATCCTTTGTGTTTCTTTGAAGTTAATTGTTACTTTCCTCTATCATTACTGATTTTGTTTATTTGGGTCATCTTTTTTTCTTCATGTGTCTGGCTAAAGGCTTATCAGTTTTATTGATCTTCTCAAAGAACCAGCTCTTGTTCATTGATCTGTTCTGTTGTTTTTTTTAAGTTTCTGTTTCACTTATTTCTGCTCTGATCTTTATTATTTACTTCCTTCTACTGGTTTTGGTTTTTATTACTTATTTTTCCAGCTCATTTTGGTGTAAGATTAGGTTTTTTATTTGAGATTTGTCTTGCTTCTTGAGTAGGCCTATACTACTATAATCTTCACTCTTAGAACAGCTTTTACTGCATTCCAAAGATTTTGGCCCATTGTGTTTTCATTTTCATTGGTCTCTATGTATTTTTTTTATTTCCTCTTTGATTTCTTGGTTGACCCATTTATTGTTTGGTAGCATGTTATTTAACCTCCATGTATTTGTGTTTAGGATCCTCCTATTCCACCATCTTCCTCAGAAGTCAAACCTACTTTGAACAGATAGATTGGTTATCTCCATTTCATTTAGTTCTTTTTCTCACATTTTGTCTTATTCTTTCATTTGGATCATACTCTCCTGTCTTTTCATTTTGCTTGACTTTCTGCGTTTGTTTTTATGAATTAAATGAATAGATACTGCTCCTAAACATGGGTGGAGTGGTCGTGCCTGGCGATTTTGGCTGGATGGCTGGAGCTGTGGCTGGTGTGGGCTGGAGGTCCTGGGCACTCTGCTGGAACGACTGGAGCTGCAGTGGGCATGGGCCTGAATAGTCCAGGGGGTCTTCACACAGAGGGCTCCCTGGCAGGACAGCTGGAACTGAAGAGGTTGTAAGCCGATGGGCTCCTGGGGCTCTCCACACAGAGAGCACCCTGGCAGGACAGCTGAAGGTGAAGTAGGTGAAAGCAGGGATGGATGGGTGTCCCAGGGGGATCCCAGGACCCTGTGAGCAGGGGGTGCCCTGGCAGGGTGGCTAGAGCCAAGGCAGACATGCACAAGGAGGTCCTTGGGCCCTCTGCATCAGGGGTACCCTGGCAAGTCATCTGGAGCTGAAGTGGTGTGGGCCTGGAGTATTCCAGGGTGCTTTGCACCTGTCACATTGGTGAGACAGCTGACTAGGGGTATCTTGGTGTATGCTGTGCTGGGGCCTCCTTGTTGGGATGGCTTGGGCTGGTGTGGGCTAGGGGCCCAGTGCTCACTGAGGCTGCAGGCTGGCTATGGTGCCCAGCCCCTGCTCCTTTCTATGCTGTCAAGGTGGAGAAGAAATGTAAACCATGGCACTTGCCATTCCTGATTGGGCAGATTTCCAGCAGCTTCCCTGTCATTTGGCAGGGTTATAGGGCTAGTTTATTTATATTCTAGTTGCCCTTTTAAACAAT